ATCATTGGATGTAACTGGCGCAGATTGCGTGTATATCGTATTAATCAATTCCACAAAATGGCACAATTAATATCAAAATGTATTCATCAGGATGTAGACGGTGAGCATTGAAAACGAAATAAACAAAGATAGATGAATATACTAGTTTATATGTTTATTTATTAATCCATTCGATGTGAATACAAAATGGAAGCGAGAGAAAGAAATTTTCTATTGATCTCTTAATTGTTTGTGAAATAACCTCAACAAAGGCAACAAAAATCAAAACACCAATAGAATGCAAACAATCAATGGGAATGTGTGAAAACTATATAAATGTGTATCGAAATTAATCGATGCAAAATCGATCGAGATGCAAACAATGAGACAATATACGTTAGAAAAAAATCACAAATGATTTGCTATATTGATGATTGAAGTATTTGAATGTTCATTTTCACTAATAAACACTATACACTCACAATGAATTGTTACATTCTTGATGATAATGAAAAGCAATATACACACACACACTCTTTGGCATTCACGCGGTTCAAAGAAGAATATATATATATATATAAAAATATGAAAACAAATTAAATAAAGAAAAAGACCAAAAAAACCTATACGCCGCACAACAATCAGAATAAATTAAGTGAAAGAGAACAACGTGAGCAGCGTAAGAGCTTAAGAGACTAGTCGCAACCACATACAAACAAGAATATTATGAGCATGTGCGCGCTCGCTTACCATTTCGTATCAAATCACATTGACTGTGCTATTCGCTGAAGATGTGTTTCTTCCTTCTTTGTGACGCAGCTTGTCTTATTCGTTCTATCTTTTTTTACTAGCACACTAGTCTGGCATGCAAACTGAAAACATACTCTCGCTCCGGCGTTCACAATGTAAAACGATGAGCGAGAACCAAGAGCGCGACGAAAGAAGCGGAAAAAAAGTCCATGACAATAAATAAGAAGACAAAATGTAGGCCACTAGTACAATATATATAGCGGTACAATACTAGTGAACAAGTCGCGATTGTGAATGTTACCTTGTTCGTTCGTTGATTTAACAATATAATTCCTCAATATCAATGCTAATGCCATTCGTATACAAATACATCGTCAATAGACAACACCGAACACCGAAAACATAAACACAACAACACATTTTTTTGACTCAGCTGGTATTTTCGGCTGATGCTACCAAATCATGAATTGATTGCTTATCGATTCAATTCAATACGGTTGTCTTCTTCGTCTTATATGAAAAACAAATTTCAGTTAACAATAATAAAAAGCAATTTTTTATCTCTTTTTGATTCACCTGCACTGTGCAAGCTGCACACACACACATATATGTATACACTTTTTATGTCATTTTTGTTATTTGTTTCATTCAAAGCTCACATCATTCACCGAATAAATAATTCCTTTGATAAATTATAAGGAATCCCATTCAGTGTGTATGTGCGTGCGCGTTTTTCTCTCTTCTTTCTTTGACAGAATGAGAGCTTTTTATTATATTGCGAATAATGAACTAATTTCCAATCATATTTTCTATCGTTTTTCACTCTGTTTTTTTTTATTGTTGTTTGTTTAAGAAAACTGTGTATCCGATTCAAATTTATAAGCCAAGTTAATGAGTTGATGTTGGTTCACTTTTACTTTTGACAAACCATGGAAACTGAATAAACGTTCAATATGTGGCAAAAGATAACAATTTTCAAAAGAAGAAGAAAAAAAGTCTGAAAAAGAGAAGGAAAAAAGTTGAAAAAGTGATGTGGTTTTGTCTACGAAAAAATAAAAATTAACCGATTTTACGCAAAAAAAAAAACAATAATGAAGCCCAACAAAAAAAGAGAGAAATGCAAAATTGCGTTGAAGGTGCTTTTTTTTTGTCTTTTTCTCACTCTGCAGCCACATTTCCAACAATTTTCATTCGGTTGGTAATTATAATAATAAATTACGATTGATTGAAAAACTAACTACTTTCATCTGTTTGGTATGTGTGCGCGCGCGATGCAGAAAAGAAATCAACATAAACATCGATTAAAAACGTTTGTCTTTTTATTTCAGTAAAATTACTAATGGAAGTAATTGCACGTGTTTTCAGCTTCAGTGAAGAAAAAAAACTCACGGGCCCAAAGAGATTGCGAGAATGAAAGATACGAGAAAAAGAAGAAGAATAAACACACGAAAGTTGATATACGATAAAAGAAATGCCAATGAAATGCGTTCCGTTTAGTCGAAGTTTGGCAAATGGTGTTGATTCTCATATATATATATATATATTTTATCGCTAATTTCAGAACAAAATGAAAACAAATTAGAATCGAGTGTAGAGAGAAAGACTTGGTTGGTTGGTTAGATGAAGCGGAAGATATGATAATGCGAGTTTGTATGTTTGCGATAGAGGATGCCGTTTTAAAAACGGCACACTATGCGCGATTGGTAGAAAATTATTTTTATTTTAGTAACTGCTTCATGACCCAATATTTACTGTACGTTCATATCGTTACATAATAATCATTGCGTCGTTGTTGTTCTGCGTGTGCCATTTTTTTCCGCTCTGCATGCCGGTGTATCGGATAGCATAAGCTTGTTATTCTTTATAATTCTTTTCTTTTTTTGTCGGTTTTAAATACTGTTTTCACTGAGGAGAGGCGAGGCATGGCCGGAGATTGAATAGTACTAAGATTTTTTTTTTCCAAATACTCACCACTCTCGAAATGAGAGAAAGATAAAAAAAAATGACGGAAGAATCTTGATTCTGTTTATTAAGAAGACAACTTTTTTAACCGGTTTTTCCCCAAATGAAAAATCCATTAAGTGCGTTTTATTTTTTATACTTTTTCATCGTTCGCTTTTCCAGTTGACAAACGCGACTCTCTCTCTCTCTCTTTCTCTCTCTCTCTCTCTTTCTCTATCATTTTTTCCTCTCACCAACCGAAGCTGTTTAACAAGTCTTCATTCAGCCTCAAATTAAATACAATCAATTAAATTATTAAACCAGACCGCATTTGAATTTAAAGTGAACAAATAAAAAAAAATCAAGACTACATTGTCGAGTGCCAGATACTGATCAAAGCTTGTTTTGAAGTGTTAATGCTTCGCTGTTTCCAGCCTCTCTGCTGCAACATAACATGTAATCAATCTTATACTAATTTACATTAGCAAATCTACTATGTACATATAGTTTTCTAAAAAGAAAAAAACCGCCGAGACCTTGCTTTGTGTATGTGTGCTCTAAACTTTGTTTTATGCACATACAATGGCTATTGTTATCCAATTTAAAATTGGCCACGCTTAACCAACTTGATCTCAGCACCAGCTTACTTTTAATTCAGTTTTTCAACGAAAAAAAAGTTCGTATTGTTTTTTTTTCTTCTCTTCACGCGAATTGTTTAAACGGCTGGCTAAAAACAATGAGCGGTCTCTTAACAATAGCAAATAATTAGGCAGCAAAAAGCCGATAATAATTGACACCCGACTACCGATGATTATAACTCTAACCGATTACTACCAATTTCAATTGTTTAAATAATCAAAAACAGTTTAATTACTCTGATGTACATCATTAACCTTTGACTTCTAGTGGCCAGTATTTTTTTCGTCAAAAATTGCCTTTCATGTTCTTTTTTTTAAATCATAAATTGCCTTTCATGTGGAAATGAATGATGGAATTCAACCATTTCGAGACGTGTGCTTTCAATCGAAATGAATTAACATGTCAAAATCGATTGATGGATCTTTTATAATTTTCAATCGAATCAGATCGTGCGATGCAAAGACGTTCGCTTGCAACGGTAAATGATGCACAAATTAAAAGCTATTCGCCATGTGTGCATGTCGATGAATCAATATCAATTTCGATGGTCGGGTTTACTCTGTTGAATTTCATCGCATTACCTCGAAATGTCATCTACATTTCAATCAATGTATTGAATTTACTATATATTGTCTTGTAACACTAATACACAATTTTGGTGTGCGCGCATACATGGTTTTAAACTATTTCACTGTCACGGTTGCATGTGTAAGATTCCTGTTTATCTCTTTCTGTCTTCCGTTCTGTTATTACTGCAAAAATGTTTTTATCGATATTTCCTTTGAATTGCTTCTGTGTGATCAAATCGCAACGAGTGTGCTTGCGCACATCGAGAGAGAGAGAGAGAGAGAGAGAGAGAGAAGGAGAAAGACAGAAACATTCACTCACAACCACACATTAAAGCATCCAAAATGAGAGATATGATATCAAATGAAGAGAAAGAAGAGCAGAACATTTACAAAATCAAAAGGCAACAGCAACAGCATAATCAAACGGAGCAAAAAGCAACAAATGAAATAAAAGATACTGTATGGCATAAAATCACAGAAACACACAACATACAAACCGACAAACGAAAGATTGTAATGCAAACGACCAACCGTCTGTGGAACATAAAACACAAAATGATAAACCGCGAGAACGAAGAAATGGAAAAAGCAAGCAGAAAGAAAGAAGAAAGCATACACTTACACACATTCATACTTGGCACCTATCGAAATAGGGTGATTGCTAAGTGATTCAGACGATTCATTCAAAACATTTTCAAATCATTTGCGCTGTCCGCCCGTGGATGCGATGTAAACAAATCGATTAATATAAAAGGTTGTTGTTGAAAATGTGTATGTACCACCCTGTACCAATATTATGGGACACTCATCGCAACTCCGCATAAAGCGACTGAAGAAAGAAAAGAGAAAAGCAGCACTGGCAGCGAATGAGCGAGTAAAAGAAAACAAAAATTCAGCAGATACATGAAAGAATTTCCATTCAACAAAATGTAAATATCTACGACGCTGATGACGGAAACAATGTGAAGAGAAAGAAAGAAAGAAAGAGAGAGAAAAGAAGAAGAAAACATAACAACAACCACACAGTAACACACAGAGTCTTATAACACTTACAACAGAGAAAAGAGACTCTCGGCTTAGTTAATCGTCTTTGAGTCTTTAATTGTCAGTTGAATATCGGTTATCATTGCGGAAGGTCGCAAAGAAGAGAAATATCGTCCAAAAAAGCATTTCTTTTGACTTTTTTGGCTGCTGATGCTTGGCTGGTGGCTGCTACTTTTGTTCAAAAAACACAGAAACACAAAACCATCGAGAACCGCTTACACATTTGGCGTTTGAAATTAAAGACATTTCGGCGGTTTTTTATCGTCATACATCGATGTATGCTCCTTCATCATATGTTTTGACCAGTAAACGAATTAAATTCAAATATCGACAAGGAATTTTTTGTGGTTTTATCAATTGCATTGACAACATATATAAAAGAAACACTTCAACGACTCTCATCATCGAACGAATGTGAAACCACATCACACCACATTGGATTGTTAGTAAAAAAAAAAGAAAAACGAAACGAAAAAGATTTTCACATTCTTCTTATCGAATATGCGTGTTGTGTGATAAATTGTGAATTTAAATCAGTGCTAGTGTGGTACGTGACATTAATCGACATCGTTTTAAACACATATATTCAAGAGTTTGCGTTCTTTTTTTTGTCGTTGTTTTCATTCGGATATTTTCAGTTTATTTAATATTTGAAAACTATTCACAGCGCATGCGCACAGTGTTATATCAAACGGTTAAAGTCGGCTTTGATTGATTCTCCTGTTTATTTTTAATTTTGCACAGTGTAATCAAAACGATTGTTGAGCATTTAAAATTACACCAACAATTCATGGGGCAATAACACACACACACACACATTTCAATGGACAAGCTTATTTTAAAATAAATGGAATGAGACACCTAGAAACTGCCCATTTGAAGCAAAACAAAGAGGACAAATAAAACTAGACTAGAACTTCTGATTGCTATTGAACAAATTAATTGGAACGTAAAACGATCAAATGGATGTGCAATCGATGTAACGCCCGTTGCGGTAATCAGATATATTAATGTTTGGAAAAATGTAAAAATTGATTAAAATTGAGCGTGAGATAAATACAACAAAAGAGAGCGAGAGAGAAAAAAAGCAACGAATAGAAGAGGTATAGAATCGCTTTAGAAAAGAAAAGAAAAGAAATATTATTATTTAAAACATAGTAGCCAAATGAAGCAAAGAAAACATCAACGTAACTTCTTCAATGATTTTTGAATGAGAAAAAATTCGCTTATTACCAGTAACGTTTTAACTGCATTTCGAGAATTCACATTGTTGACCGCCTTTTCTTTTCTTTTTCATCTGAATGAAACGCTTAGTTTCACCGAATAATGTGTTTATTCGTTTCAACCGTATTATTTGCATAGTTCACGCGCACCAGTATAACTAACAAACGGAAGAGAGCGAAAAAAAAATTATTATAAAAAATTATAACAGCAACAAGAAGAGAACAGAGAAAAAACCGCGCGTCCAAAATTTATTTGAGGAGAATAAACCCGAATATCTAACTCATCTTCACATATAGATGTAAAAGCGGTAATCTCATCGAAATCCATAAAATTTATTCGTTGCTAAACAACAAAATCACGAACTCACTCATTTTGCTCAAACATACACATTAAATCGAATGACAATGAATTCATTAAAATGTTCGCTAAGATTGCAACCGTATAGACAGTGGATTTTTGTGCTATATTTTGTGTTAATAACGATCATCGATTTTAGCTGTACCGTTGATGGATTAAGTACAACAAACGAACGAGGTATGTATTGATCATTTATATATTCAAACGACGCCTAAGCGCACCCCATCATTTGCAATGAGAAATGTGCATAAAACACATTAAAATCAAATGTGATGATGGAACAAGACAAATCTACGTTTGATCTTGTCTGAGTGACGCAAAGAATGACAAACATTTAAAAAAGTGACTCACACACACTGAAATACAATCGCATCAAGTGATTACGCGTTTTTGTTTTTTGTTTTGAGTAAATCGACCATTTTTCCATTTGGTGAAATTTAATTTTCAACTAAAATTCCAATCAAAACCATCGAATGGAAATCATTTCGATGAATTGAAAGAATATGCAAACGGCACCGGAACGAATACAATGAAAGACAGAAATAAAACACACACACACACACAATGAAAGAAGAAATGATTCGGTTCTTCAACTAGAACACAGCACGGTTTAAAATGAGGAATAAAAAAATTGTGTTACTTCTTCTTCTGTTTATGTTTTAAATTAACAGTATTCGATGAGCGTTCTACCAATGAATCAATCTCATGCGTGCTATTTGATTCATAAATGATGCGCGCAAGTGGTGTCTCTCTCTCTCTCAATCTCATTCGTCCATCTACATCATTAATGCTTTGCTCGTTTTTCATTTCCAATGTGGAAATTGTATTGAAACTAATGCGCTCATCCGATTTAATTCGAAACTAGCTGAGATGGAATCATATTAAAATCATCAAAACCCGGCTCTTATCGATGAATTCGTGGTCGTTGGTTTTTTTTTAGATTCAAATAAATGAGACTTAAAATGACGGACAAAATGCAATTTGATCTTGTGAAATGATCGAAATAAAATAAGTGAAATTAGTATTGGATGAGAAGTGAATGAATTTCTATGGAATGTACGTGACAACACGATTCCAATCGATTGACCTATATAAAATAAATCATTTTCACTAGCCAGAATTTGCATATATCTTTTTTTATTTTTCTCTCAATCGAATTTGATCATGTCTCATGAGTCATACAATTTTTAGAAAGGAAAAGTTAAGCTACCACCACAACGGATGTAATTTTTCTTGCAAATTGTCAATCACAATTTATGATTCATAATAATAAAGAAAAAATTGTGTCCGAAATCAGAACAGTAACCAAGAATAAAATGAAACACAGTAGTCAAAGCACAATACGCACAATCACAACCATTAATTGTTGTGCCAACCATTATTTTCTGAATGATGATATTTGTCTCTGTCATTGTTGGCTTTATTTTGTTTTACGACGTTGAAAAGAAAATTACCTATTCTTAACGAAATGACGGATAAAAAAAAGAGATTAAAAATGTCTGACCCACTTCGAAAAGCCGAGCCAACGAATTCGTCAAATATACAAATAAGTCATATTTCATGTTTATTTACTCGCTGGCACAAGTTACAATTATGACGCGCTCGCACAAAACACTGGCTATCAGACCTTAACCAAAGACGTGAATACAAAACGCTGTATAATATGAAAGAATGTATTGCTGCCACAATACAAAGAGAAAAAATAAATACAAGAGATGCGTAATATTAAGAAAAAGAGAGAAAAAATCCTACGTAAACTGACCAAAGAGCCGATAAAAAAAATTCGGTTTGTAAATTCAACTCTGTACACATTACTTCCGATGCAAACACTGTCTGCGCCATTATATATCTTTTTTTTTGTGCAATCGTAATGTGGCAGGTAGAAAAGGTTGTTCTTATCAGTCCGTGGCCGGTTTTTTTTATCAATCGCTTTTTTTGTCTTCACTTCAATTGCTTTCGCAAAAAAAACTATTGTACAATTGTTTAAAACGAGAAACAAGTTTTTCCGCATGCAAATTGCATTTGAAAAAGAGAAACCAATACATCACGACGTGATGTCATGACTTTTAACTGGTCATGGAAGTATTAAAAAAACATATCACTACCATGTTTGATACGGTCATTTCGTATGTAAAGAAAGTGCGCAAAAATAATGAAATTAAATCTAAATGAAATTCGTCTGTCTCAAATTCATCCAGTTTTGTTAAATTGTTATTATAAAACTGTTGGTGAAATGGTATTTTATTACGATACATAAGCCGTTCCAAATAGAAGAAGAAGAAACAAAAACAAAATATCAGGAAAAAAAAGTGAGAGAGCGAGAGAAACAAGAAAACCTGCATTTCAAAATTCCGTTTGGACAAAATGATTGCCTGAGAACGCAAAGGCATTTAAATAATTATGATCCATGTTTTCTTTTTTGGGTTGTGTTCTTTTTTTTATTTTTTATTTAGTTCTTTCGCTTTTTCTGCTCGGTATTTATCTGTCCAGAGTTTGTCTTCTCATGTCTCATGTTCGCTTAATCAACTTGACAACATTCGTTGAAACGCATTGCTGGGTAATTTGAAGCTGATCATCCAGAATTTTTCAAAATACGAAAGAAAAAAAACGTGAAGAGAGAGAAAATAAAAACTCAAATGAAGAAAGAAACGGCCCAGACATTTCCAAAGCACTTTTGAACTTATAACCCTGGCAATTTTCTATTAAATAAAAGTAAAACGACATGCTGTTTACATGGTGCACGCTTGTGCGATCATCAAAAGACTTCATTAAAACCGAAGAAAAAAACTTCAAATATCGGCTGATGACCACACCCGAACATTTTCAGTTGAAGCAAAAACAAAACAAGATCAAATGCGTGCAAACAACAAAATTTCAATGAAGCTCGCAAATTTTTATGAAAAAAACAACAACAACAACATACACATTAAACGATTTTTTATTATGTGTGTTAATGTGTGATTGTCGTGTACTAAATATGCTGCTGCATACATGCTTTTTTCGCTGTTTTCACTGTCCGATGTCTCACGCATGTTCTTATATGTAAATCGAATTGTTTTGGAAATGCTTGTGTGGTGCGATGATTCCATGCTTTTAGCTGGCTGTGTTTTTTTCTCTCTTATGGTTTCATTCAAAGGGGAGTCGACAATATGTTGGCGTTTGTTTTTTTTATTTGTTTCACTGTCCATTCGAAAATGATGCGTACAAACGTTTGAATGCTCGAACTAATCGAATCGACTAGCACTTCATGACCGAATTCACTTCGCCCATAGAATGCTTTAGCGGCAAACTTCAATATATGTTCATGAGCAATGCGAAGAACGAAAAAATAATAATATTAAACGTCATTTTTTCAAGCGCGTCGCGTTGTTGTTGCTGTTTTTTTTTATTTATATTCTGCAAAGGCAAATGCCATTCTTTATAGTTTTTCTTTCGTTTGGCTCTGGAATTTCAACTTTTGCTGAGCACGCATTTCATTTAGGCCGATTGTTTCCATTGTCCTATTTACCTTTTGGCACATTTAGCTTTTTTTTATAGCCATATGTGTTTATAATCGCCATAGTTTTTTTATTCTGTTTATTTCTCATATTTGTATGACTGCAACATCGTATCGATGATATTTTCTTTCTATTTTTTCTTTTTTGAAATAATAACACAATTTTCTCCTCGCGTTCACCAAAAATGGCACCACAATTGAGGGTAAAAAAATAAAGACATTTTACTCAATTCTTTCATAGAAAAGCATTCATAAAAAGCGACTTTGGTTTGTTTTCATTCTCGCGCCCAAATAGATACGACACTATTATAACGAAGAATGTATTGCAGCTGCTGAATGTATGGATCAAAGGTAGGCCTTCAAGGCAGTGCATTTATTTTCAATAACCAAAGAGTTAGAGAGGAGAGAGATAAAGAAAAAAAAGAGTATCATTGAAAGCCATGACGATGTAAATCAGCAACCGTGCGACTTAACTTTCTCAGGCAGTAGTTGAGCGCTTTTGTTTTTGTTCTCCGGCGGTTGCACTTTTCCCTTGATATTGAAATAAATTAAAAGTGCAGCCAACTATAGCGCTACTATTCCTCTATATATGTAGATTGTAGAACCACAGGCGAAAGAGAAAAAAACGAATTTCTTTATAAAAATTCAAGTGAACTATTGTTCCGTGACACAGAAATAAGAAAATTGAATTGATATATCTTGATAATATCTCTAAGAAGCACACAGCATCCAAGCCAGTCGAATTGCGAATGCGCACACGGCCATGAAAACCCATCATTTTCACAGGTTTTGCGTAGTCATTTTTTTTTTTTTTTTTTTTGAATATGTGAATGCTTAGTCATTTTGACATTTTAACCGCGTGTGTGTGTCATTTCACTTTGGAGGGCTACAAAACACAATAAAGGGAAAAAATCATTTTCTGATTATTTTTTTTCAGAATCTGCGATAGCATTTTTAATTAAAAAAAGTAGTTTGACGGTAGATCGTATATAAAGGATTTTTTGCAATTTTCAGAATTACAATGATTTCAATTTTGTGTATGTTTGTTGCTCGCCGATACTCAAAAACGCGTCCAATCGATCGTCGGCAAAATAAAAAGAAAACATGATAATGGTTTTGTGTTCACGTTGCACATCGTAACGTAACACATTTGATAACCCTTTTTATGAACGTACATTTTTTTCTGTGTCCGAATCGGCTCTTTCTTTTCTCTTTCAGTCTCTCGGATTCTTTAATCAAAACCGCTTAATTCTTATATGTCATGTCTATACAATTTATTGAATACTTTAACCCAAACAAAATCGAATACATTTTTGGTCAATATAAAAAGAAGCGATGGATGAAGAAAAAAAACACATGTTCCGTGTTTTCGAGTATAACTTTCATTTTATTAGACAACGGCCTCAAGCGTTTGCGCATTATTCTTTTATAAATACAGCAACAAGTACAAGTTTATATGTTTTATTGCTCACGTTTATTCTCATTTTATATTGGATACGAATTTTGTGTTTTTGTTCTCGTTATTTTTCTCCATTTACTTGGACTTCATGTTAAAAACAAAAAGTTTTTGTTTCGAATTGCTCCCAAATGCTTCTTAAACAGCGACAGAAAAAAAATCCACTAAAAAGTATCTCTTTTTCTTTGGCCACCGCATCTCTTTTTCTTTTTAATGTGGCGTGAT